TCTCGGTCAATTAAAATCGCTTTAAGTTTTATTATCTTGAGTCATCACGGGGCCATACTAGCGCCTCAACCGACCAGTTTGTCGAGCTCTTTATTTAGAAGTGGTACCAACAAGCAAGCAACGCATCTCCGTATCTTCCGGTCCACGTTTCGGAATACATGTTTGAGCAACGGTTAATTTGGCGAACATGTATGACGTCACAAGCTTACTTGATGATATAAAATTATTAGAATTTATACTTTAATTTATTTCCATTTTTGCGGATTAGTAGATACACAGAACCAGTTTCTATATACAGTTCTCTTATATGTATAGTAATGGCCTGTGATAATGCAGCTTGAGAGATAGAACGTAATTCTTAATGTCTACGACAAAGCGGAACAATGTATTCAGCAAGCGCGGTCTGAGCAGACGACTATAACTGGATGCATAACGAATGCATCGCCCTCGCCGTCGCCGATGTAAGGACATTATTGCAAACAAAGCTGTTAACCGTGATTTTGCACTGCCGAATTCACATCAAACATGTTTTTATGTGAATGTTACGACAGTGCAAACTCACAATAAGCTGTGCTGAGACGACTTGCAGCAATACAATGTAAACAAATGGTTCAAGTGCATCTGCATGACGTCACTTCGAGAAAGGGTAAGGACGAAACTGATGTTGCTTTTTGAAATAGTTGAAGACAAATACTTTTAAGCTACGGTCTGATAGAAATAACGATCTTTTAAACTTGATTGATTTGAGACAGACAAATTTCTTCTTTAGACTACTATCTCTACGTACTGCCAACCGACTCCATGATCATTACGATAAAATAATATTTGTATGATCAATTAGCTAAAACCTTAAGTCCACATTACACCATCATAACAATCAAAATTAATCGCATGATTATTCACCGAATTATTTAATGGCGATGATCAGGCGGCATCTTAAAGACATAATATAAACACGTGGCCCGACCTCGGCGTTACATTAGCCTGAGCCCTTCACACGAGACCAGTCCGAGGTGATGACATCAACTCGACTAGTTCGATTCTATTTCTGCCGCCTGACACACCTTGTTGTTGGTAACAGCATGCACAGTTCCATGAAAATGGGTCGGCTGTGTGTAATCTTACCACCGGGGTTAAGTATACCACATTTATTGAACATGATTACGTGCTCTTGACCAACATATTAGAAATAGTCTAGTAAGACCGTAAATCAGTTCAATTGTCATTTTATTTACTTTGTTTTCGCGTATTTTACGATCGAGAATGGGGATAAGTTATAAACAAAAGACTGTAATGGTGTAGATTTTGATGTTACATACATAACACAAGAGTTTGCTTAGGGTCAAAGTGTTGACTTTTTTTTTCAAAGACCAATGCAAGAACCATAGGGTGCTAGAAGCAAGGGTTACCTCTATTTTTTCACAACCCTAGTTGGGCACCCTATCAGACTATTTAACAATGCAGTCAATTGTAACTGCAGGTAAACTTTATTACAAATTTACGCGTAGCAGTAACAACCCTAGGTGCTAAGTAGCTCTCATTTAAATATGCAAGCCAGAATTGTGTGCATCATGTTTACTTAAGTTTCATTTCATGTTAGATCTCCCTTGACGAATGTGGACCCCTACTTTGATATGTCTAAGCTTCACACTACACTTCAAAATTCTATTTTAAACTCTTGGTTAAAGCATATACAAGATAAAACAAAAATTTCGTCATTTTACAAAATATTTCTCGCTTTTATTCTGATACAACAAAAAATTTAAGGTAAAACAATACTTCCCCAGCGTTGAATTACGTAAAGTTTTAAAACAATTCATTTGTTCAAACTGGCTGACGTATAAATGCAAAGTTCAGAATGAAAACAAGTAAAAAGTATAAGAGAACTTTCAACTTTTCACAATTTCGCAACGCAACCGCGTCCGCAATGAAAATAGCCCCTCGAGCTTTGGCAGAAAATGCTTATGGAAGTAAAATTTATACCTGAGTGAACTTTAAATTGAAATATCACTTTAAGTTGATCAGTTATAACAGCTTTAAAATTATGAACCGTTTAAGTAAATTTACTTTGATTTATACAGAAATTTCAAATCATAAATCTGCTTTGAATTGAAAACCATACTTTGTGGAAACTTCCTAACATTCTGCGTTTATTAGTAAATCAAAACAAGTAAAAGTTTAGTCAGTCAATGCCGTTCGCTGGCCCATCTCGTACACAATAGGATAGGAATAGATGACATTGTCGTGCACTACTTGGCTGGACCCTCGATTGCTACAACTGCCAATATACTCTAGCTAAATGCATTTCAAATATTTTTTACGATACGTTGGCGTCCAAGACGAGCTTCACATTACTAAGAAGAACCTTTCCTTAGTACTACTGCTACTTACTTACTGCAATCGATTCTTAGTAAAGTCATGGACAACATCTAGTTGGTTGAGACCTCTCTGCCGCTTAAACATACATAGTAAAAAATGTATGTACGGCAATGGACGGGCAGCAAGCCAGCAACCTTCGTCACATTGTTTACATTTCACATTATAACGCGTATTCTTAACTGGTTTAATATTAAACTATGGAATTAAAATTATAAACAAACATTTATTTAACTCGCATGTCTATTTACTAGCGATATTTAAGCAATGGTTATGACATTTTTTTTCATTAAAGTATATTAGATATCACGAATTATAATATTAAAAAAGCCACTATGGATCGAGGTGACGACTGGCGACGAAGGTACATGCACTTTATTTACTGGCCCGTAGTTTACTCATTTTTTTTATTCATTACTGGACAAAATCGTCAATTGTTTAAGGCTGGAGACAAAAACTTCAAATTCTTATTTTTTTCTTAGCCTATACAGACAGAATTATATAAAACAGTGGTGACTTATTTATTTACCTACGCAATCCAATACTGCAGGTACACAGCCAGTGATAGCGGCGCCCGGCTGAAATACGTCAATTTGTCCTCGGGGAGTAATCAAGTTTCGTTTGTATATTGCAAAATGTCCAAGCTTTTTGCACTATCATCACCGTTATCGTAACACAGAGTATTTATAAACACACAAATCATTTATTATTATTGTTTACTATTTAAATAAATCAAAGTAAAAATAAAGATCTGTCAATTCTTAAACTTTCCATTATAGGGCGCCACCGCTTACGAAATCCACGTCCGAAAATTATTAATTGGGCAATAGAACGATTGTTATACGAAAGGTCGGAGGTTCATTCAACTCCATTTCTATAACGAGATGTGGTAAGAGTAACTCAAAAATACATAGTATATATCACAATTAATATTTTTTTTGAAAATATAAAGAATATTGACTTAAAACCAAACTTAAACTTAATCTTATTTTTCCCTACCAATGGTGAAGATTTATTTCAGATTTTTCACTGAGTCTTATTAAATTTCATTTCTGAATAAATCATATTTCCATGTTATTAGGTCAACAACTATACTCTGAGTACTCTGGCAAGTCTGAGGCTGGCTGGCGCGATGCCGCAGAACATGTTTATAGCACTGGGTCAATGTTTATTGCCGACCTATTAAAATATTAACGTTTGTCTTAAAAACTAAGTTATAAACAGATTTCAATTAATAAAAGTTTATAACTAGACAGTTTCAGTAAGAGAACTAACAAAAACATAAATTTCGTATATTTAGTTACTCTAGTATACTAATTGTTGGGCACTCAATAACTAAGAAAAGATATTGAACAATATTTCATAAATACGTAAATTTTCATAAGGTTTAAGTAAATGATTATTTAATAGTTTACTATAATAGTACGCACACGAAGACGGGGTGAAGCGCTTGTACAATATTTATAAAAAGAAAACGTATATTCAAACAACAATTTGAGGGAACAGTGACCAGGTAGGCTTAGCGTAGAGTGTACCATCCAAAGAACAGGTTACTTAATGAATATCTTAACATAGACCTACAATCCTGCCTTTCATCGCGTAAGGAGTCTCAAGGAAAGTCGGTCTTGCGCGCATTCAGAGCGGACGAGAGTTTTTATACATTTTTAAAGTAGCTAAATGAAACTCTTCGCGATATAGGATACAGGACTAAAGAAAGTAGCACTTGTAACTATGAAACATGAGTTTTAACTATTGAAAGTTTACTTCAATCAAGGGAATATTAATATGTGTAAAGTGACGCTCAGGATTGCAAATAACAAGAAACTTTAAGCATAAATTTTAATAAAGCGATATATTATTTTGTAGTAATGTGCATTGAATGTGGTTCCATCATATAATTTACATATCACATACATCTTGTTCAATTTGTTTGCTTAACAATAAAACATTGATGTATATAACAATGGCAGTATGTAGAGTTGAAATAAAAGTGCATAAATATGCATTTAACTATGCTTAATTGTGTCGGTAGGCGCCAATACTGATCATGGGACATAAAATGTTAGCGGTAACACATGGTCGAAAGTAATATTTAATTACATTTGGAGATCTTTGCTTATATATATGTATTTACAATATATACCATCAAACGGAATGTAGTTGCTAGGGATATCGCTTCTTCATTTACTGTTATATATATACTATACCTCAACTCCATACAGTATTGAATAAGAAAAAATTAAAAACATTCACACTATTCCATTCCAATAAATCTGACATTGATAAAAGAGTATATCAAACTATTTAACAAAAAGAGTCACATTTTTTTTTAAAGAGAAGGGGGCAAATGACCTGAGGGAACACCAAGGTGCTCAACAACATCCATGGACATCTGCAACACCAGAGGATCTGCAGAAGCGTTGCTGGCTTTTAAGGAAATGGTATGCTCACTTCTTGATGATCCCTAAGACGTATTGGTTTGGAAATACCGCCGAGGACAGACCATTCTATAAGGCGGCTGTGCAAGGCAAGAAATTGCGTGGTGTATAAGATATTTTGTAATTTAAGTCTGTAGTCTCATGGAATGACAGACAAAAAAGTGTGTTTTATTAATATATACATACTTTGGTGCCGGTTCTCCTTCTGCTTCACATTCAATTATGAATGGTTTGTCCACTTCCCCCGACTGCGCAACTTGGAACAGCAACTCCTCTACTGTAGGCTGCTTTACGATTCTTGGCGGTGATGTCACTACCCAAAAAAGTAAAGCATTATTAACTCACAGGGCGAATCAGTAGCAGCAAATAAAATGTTAACACAATAATAATTGCAAGTTAGGCACAAAATATTCTTATAGCTTGCCCGAGAAGAGCCTCCCATATAAAAACAGGAAAAGTAATTGTTATCCTCAATGTTGCCCTTGATCAGGAACCAAGCATATTTATTCAATCTAATTGTGTTTTCAGTATAATTGATTTTAATAAACTATTTATACATATTGAGTACAAAGTTGAAAGGATCAGATGATAAAGATGAAATCATAGCAAGGCAAGGACACATCAATTGAGCAATTGCTAATCTAGATCATTGTCTAATGTGGTTTTTATTGAATTACTTCTCTCATTCATTGTTATGAATATATCCCATTCATAACTCTAATATTGAATGCAATTAATATCTTACAATTTCTATTACTATTTGTAAGTAAAGAAACATATTCTATGTAAAATGTAGTTAATAAATAAATCGGTAGCAGTTAATTTAACAATATTGAGAACATGCAAGATAAGCTGCCTAAGGAATAAATCACAAGAAATCAGCATGATGATTGACTTTTCATATATGGCATAAAACTCTATTTATTGCTAGCTAGTATTTTATGTGCAATTTCATATATAACATTGTATTTTCTGATTGGAATCCAACTTATAATACATGTTTTACTATTAAAGAAAGTATGAAATTTAATTTTATTTATTTACTGAGTCTATCTTTGTCAATATCAAATCAATCTGAATATTTACAGCATTGGCATGTTGATATTATACACAGTATTTACAAGTTTAATGGTCAAATATTACATTAATATTTGGATAAATAATGCCAATTACAGCTGTTCGTAATTAAAACTTTAGGATAGATCCAAAGGGTAGCTTTTATGGTAAAAAATAAAAGTAGATGTTTAAATTACATGAAGATCTATTTTACTTCTAATTGGCAAAAGTTGAATGAACTTATTGCATACAAACAAGCACTATAAACAATTGCCAAAGTACGATAGTGTAAACGTAAGATACTCACATAGCGCTGCCGCCTGGGACACTATCACGAACAAACAAATCAACTTATATGTATCCATGGTTGATGTGTTCCGCAGCCTCGTTTATCTAGTAAGAAACGAAACAAACTATTTAAGAGACGCTAAAACACATTTCTCCGGCTCCGGCACACCGCACACATGTCTACCACACTCGATGACCTAATCCGAGTAAAGCTCTTACAATGACAACACCCACTAAAAATAGACGCGTAGGGAATTTGTAAATAATATTTAACTACACACAAATCATTTAAAAACTATTAACTCGAAATGAAAACAATCGAGTAAAACATAAGAAAAAAATTGTAAAAAATACGCAAAATTTAATAGTATCAGTTGAGAACACTGAGGTCGATGGCACAGTTAGTATTAAGCCGTATAGTTCATTGGTTATAACTATGGGACTTTTATTTATAATTTTATTACCTAAATGTGTTTCTTATAATAATATCATTTCGGTAATTCCAAACGAACTGTATTTACTGAATTAAAGGCGGGGCCTTTGAGATTCTCGTTTTCGACAGTGATCAATTTGATCATAGACTATAGCTAGACCATAAACCAGCCGTGGTTGGCCATAGATTATGGAAAACCATAACTTTTGGCCATTGATCGCTATCAATGGATTGGCTAAAAGACGTGGTAATTTGTGCCTATTTGATTTACCGTTTTGGCGCTAATGGTAGCAGTTTGTAGCGGTGATGACGTTTCGAACTAATATGTTAAACAGATAGAATTAGCTCGTAACATCAACATGCGCGTTTAAATCGGAACGGAGCGGAAGCTGTCATTTCCAAGCAGTCGCCTATCCATTTTTAGAAATCAGTGTTACCATGGCAGTGTCAATCACTGTCGAATTTCGTCGTTTTGTCAAAGTATTTTTCTATATTTTTTTTTTGGAATCGCTGTGTAATTTTTCAGATCTAAATTATTTCATGTGAAAAATATTTATAGACGCAGACAAAAATATATATTAACGCATTGACGTAGAAGTAGAATGTTGCAATGTCAATGGAGATTGTGATGCCCTCATAACAGAGTTGATATCTTTTGGTCAGGCTAAACTTTAATTGTAATGGTGGAGTTTGCGTTGACCACTATAATGAAACAATATGTACTAAATATAATAAAGTAGATCAATGTTTTCAAACCGCCTTCACAGCCTAACACCTCGAGTCGCGAAGGGTAGTTTATAAAACACTGAGCTCGATAAAGCTAAAGTTACTTTTTCTACTAAAACTTACAACGCTCTGGCGTTATAAGTTTTAGGGGTAATATTAATCGGGGTTCTTATTTCTTTTTCACAACTGTTTACTCTTTAACTTATAATTCACTCTCTTTAAACGAAATTTAAACCTAAGTTTTCTATCAAATATTATTAATAAAAATAACTTTAATTCTTCTTGATTAAAAGCTGTGTATCTAGGTTAAGTTGTGTTGTGCACTCAGATTACAATTAAGAAAAAGACAACGTCAATTTTTTACCAATTTATAAGAAATTGCAAGAAATTCTATATGTCATATATTTTTTGGATCCCAAATTTAAATAGGTATAGTTTTGTAATCTCACTTTGTGAGTATAGTATACTTTTATATTTTAATTTTATAAATAAATTTCAAAGCATAAAATTTTATTTTGTCATTACTATTTCTTTCAAATTTTGATAATTTACTGGATGATGCAGTAATGACAAGGAAAGAAAGGGACTTGCTGTAGTTATCAATACGAGCACATATGTACATCCAGCAGTGAACGACTATCGACTACAAAGAACAAGCGCAATGCCATGGCCTATAGGTGGATCTAGTCAGCGAAAACTTACTTAACGATATTTTTTTTTAATTTTATTAAAGTGTTTAATTTTTTGTTAGTTTCAAATATCCTGTTTATCGTCACCATCAACAATGAGTAAGTAAATAAAATTAGACTAGCACTGTGCCCAATGTTAATGGGATTCCTCCGTGACGCGTGTTTTCCAATTTTAATCTATAAGTTGTAAATATAGAGTATGATATAACTATACTGAGTAATTTCTTTTTCAGGTGACGAAAGTTTGTCTATTCAAAGACTTTGCAGTTCAGTAACACAATCTTGTAAAGGACCAACACACACTAAAAGTTACAGATCTGACACCGATGTATTATTATCGACAACATCAGTAAATAATCGTAACGACGATCGCTACAGTATTATGTCTAAGCAATATTATAAAATGTATGAACACGATGAGATTCCCGTTCAAGATAACACCGGCTTCAGTATCTTAAGTAAATCTGGGGAAACTGGAAAAGGCGATAGAAAACTTAAGTCTGGAACAACACTAGATTTGGAACAAATAGAAATGAACCTAAATAACACACTGTCTTATAATCTTCATGCGGATAGCAGCTTCGCGCCCAGCCTTGAATCGAATATAAAACTCTTCAAGACTACAGTACAAGAAATTTTTGATAAATTCTACCACTGCATGAGCGATATTGAACAATATAAACTACGATTCAATAAAATATTAACAAAGATAAAAGACGATCCGATTACGGATATGGAAAACTTTATAAAAGATATGCTTCAAGATATTATTTCGTCCGATTCGTCCGTTTCTTTCCCCGATTCAAAAATACCGAGAGCTTTGTGTAGTAAGGACGCGACGGTGGAGGTGAATTGTGAAGCTAACGAAAATTACAAGCCCTCTAGAAGCAATCTGTATCCTGAAGGATTGAAAACAACAATCGAAGCATACAGAAACGACAACTACAAGTCCGATTCCAACACAGACGACGTCAGTTCCAGTCACAAGTCCAAGAAAGGAGTCTTCTATATAAATCTTCTGAACAGCCACCGCTGCGTTCAGATCAAACTGAACAACCGCGACATGGTCTCCGAAATAAACATCCGCGATCATATGGTGAAAGATGACAAAATCGACGAAGCCGTCTCGGCCGATAACATTAAGAAATTAAAAGCGAAAGAAATGGAAGCGATGTCTTTGAGAGATCGGAACGTGGACCAGGGCGACGAAAAGGACATTCCGGTGAGAATCGCAAATCCAAAGAAAAATATTCACCTAGATCAAGATTTTACTAATGACGTGGACGATGAATCAAAGCGTTCAATAATTTATAAAATATGTAACTACTTTTGCAAGAAATTACGCAGGGCTTGTTGAATTTGGTTCCGTGGTGTTGTATCAATAAAAGTTGTTTTGGTCTGGAATTAATTTATTTATGGACTAGACAAAAGTAACAATACGCCGGCGACAAGTCAGGGCGCGGCCTCCTCGAAGTTGTCTATGTAGTACCAGCGGACGAGGGCGATGTGCTTGCAGAGCTGCAGCGCGAATTCCTTCTTCATGTGCAGGAACTCCCTGATGATGGGCAGGTCGAGCATGATGAAGGCCTGGCCGTCGATCTCCTCCTGCTTCATCTTGTCGGCGATGAGTTTGCAGTCGTCGGTGCTGCTGAGGTAGGCGTAGACGTCGTCGACGCTCCAGTGCAGAGGGTTGGGGGCGAGCTTGGCGCGGCCCCGGATCCAGGAGAGGGCGGCACGGCGCTCGAGCGCGGCGTCGGAGGGCGGGGGGTCGTAGGAGGCGCAGCGCAGCTTCTTCAGCTCGGGCTCCTCGGCGTCGGAGACGTCGGAGATGAGCTTGCCGCGCGACTGGCAGCTGCTCTCGTTGGTGTCGTGCTCGGTGTCGCTGTCGGGGCCGACCTTCTTGGCGCACGAGCTGCCGTACATCGTCTCGACGTCCTTCTTGTCCCAGTGCGCCTCCTTCATCTGCAGCGCGAAGTTGGGCAGCTTGGCGCCACGCGTCTTCATCTCGAGCTTGGGGTAGACGGCGCGCGGGTCGCGCTTCCTGCGGCCGGGGCGGCGACAGTCGGCGAGGCAGTCGGGGGAGTTGGGCCGCGTGCCGGACTCGGAGGGCGGCGTGGAGGCGGCGCTGTGTTCGCTCTCCACCGACTCGCCGTCCCTGTTCCCCTCGCTCTCCTGTGACGGCTGCATCTCCTTCTCCCGTTTCTCCGGGGCGGTGGTTTTCTTCTTTTTCCTCTTTCCGTTTACGCTGCCTTTCGGTCTGCCGCGGCGTTCAGTGCCATTATCTGTAATGGAAATAAAATAAAATGTTAACTTTAAATGTACAATAATTGTGAAAATTAAATATAAAAGTTAGATTCTGTGGTGAATATACTGACGGAATGTGGACTTGTCGACGATGTGACAGCGGTGCGGGCAGCCGGCGGGATACTCCGCGGGGCCGAAGAGCGCGGGGCAGGCCTGCAGACGCGCGCACACCGCGCCGCAGAAGGCGGGCACGTGCTCGCGCTCGCGCGCCACGCACACGTACGCGTGGTACGTGCTCGTCTTCAGCCTGCGCACCACATACACGACACATTTTATATTTCATCTTACGATCAAATATTAACTCCTAATAGCTTAAAACATAAGTAATGCGCTTACTTAGCCCGTAATAATTCCAATCTCATGCCTTCTTCGGGCGGTCCCTCGTGCTCCCAGTCTTTGAGCAGCTTGGCGGGCTTGTAGGAGGCGGAAATGATCTTGTTGAGGACCTCCTTCAGTACCAGGGAGAGGGGCCCGGGGCCGACGTGCTTGGGCAGCTGCGACAGCTTGTTCCTGCTGATGGAGGGGCCCGCGTAGCATTTGTAATTGAAATATATTCTATCGCACCACTCGCTCGAGGTCTTTATATCTTCCTTGACGGCGCCCTGCGGCTCCTCGGGCCGCTGCGGCCGCCTGTCGGAGGTGTCGGGGATGTGCAGCTCGTAGTTGTTGCTGTCGCACCAGCCCACAGGGAACAGCAGGTCGCTGTCCTGCGCGTACCAGTACTTCTGCGCGATGGGAATCAGCTCGACGCACACGAGGTGCTCCTCTATGGCGGCTATCGTCGCCACGTGGATCTCCTCCTGGCTCAGGGGGTTCACCGCTTCCAGTTTCATGTCCACCTCGATACCTTTCATCGGCTCCTTCTTTCCGAAACAGTACTCCGGAGCGGGGACGGACGACGTCATAGTTAGATACTCGTCCCAGTTGAAGGGTCCCTCTTTCCAGGTTTTGGGGGATTTGAGGGGGAAGTTGTGTTTGTGCGCCCAGCCGATGGGGAAGATGTAGGGGTGCATGTTGTCGCAGAGCCAGGCGGAGACGGGGGAGGTGGAGGTGTCATCTGCCGCCTCATCGGCCGTCACTAGGAAGTGCAGGTTGTTGAAGACGGTGGTGACGGTAGCGGGGCGCACGGTGCGCATGTCGCTGGGGCTCAACATCTCCAGCTTCATACCGGCCACGAAGCTGTGCGCCTCCTGAGTGGGCGCGGGCTGGAAATATTAATTATATTATTATTACCTCCTCTAAAACAATATACATTACATCATGATGATGAACCCTCAATTAACATGAAGTACGTCTGCATATGTTTTGTGTTCGTGTTCACCTGGAAGAGATCTGGTGGCGTGGGCTCCTTGATGGACTCCTCTGCGCTCTGCCTCAGCTGCGCGCTCAGCTTATTCTTGCAGGAGAACCGGTTGACCTTGCCCGGGTACTTGAACTGCCACGGCGAGCCCTGCATCCGTACACAGAAATACTTACTAATCGATTCAATACGTAACAAAAAATGCAATTGGAACAATTTTAAGCCCGATTTTATAATTAAGAAAATCGATGTAACGTAGAAATAGCCTTCTCGATGAATTAAATATATCGCGTTCATCATGGAATATAAATAGATAATTTGGTGGAGTACGATATTAATAGAAAAAAGGATTCCCTTTCTGGAATGTGTAGGCGTTACTTTAAATCAGGTAACCGTTTCTATTTGTAACCTTCTACAAAAATGTATCAACCTGAAATCTGATACGATTCGGGAAAAAATTAATTGACGGATCAATATCAATATTTAAAAATTAAAATATATCTAAAGAGTAAGATAAAACATGTCTACTGTCGAGTATTCATGACACTACGTGACAATGTCTCGATACCAAGAATTAAAAACTTCGAAATATGTAGTTTAGTATAGTCACGATAGTGCGTATTTCATTTTTTAACATAACTATAAACTTTGTTGTCTTAAACCAGACTGTCTTCGTGTAAATTTTTATCGAATTTGCTCCGTGAGGATAAACATTTCGTAAATGTGTTACCTACAGATTTTGTTATTATAATAAATTTTTATGACAGGCATTGTGCTCGGTACCAATTAATCCGAAAACAAAAAAGTTCATAGCATTTCAAACATTTTAGCCTGGTTATCTGTCGATGAAAAACATAGTACAGGTTAAAAGGATAAGAAAGGTAAAAGATAAATCGATCTCATCTGCATTACAGAAATTTGTTGCTTACAGTAATAAACATATTAATTGCAAAATATATAAATTAACAATGACGATAAATTATAAATATAAACAAAGTAATGTTGGCTTGAGAAACGAGTCTTTGAAACATACGAGGTAAAACTGTGTCGATTTTATTTTTAATCTTGTTCCAGTTATTCCATTTTTTTTATTATCATTATATGTTTGTTGCGAAAAACAATACAACATTGTTCATCTCATAGAAAAACCGTGGAATACAGATATTTGGACTTAAGGTTTACGAAAACCAAGCGCAAAATACTCAATGTGGCCTTCCATCCTTCTGGTAATTTTAGAACACCCTGTAGGACGGAAACTGTATTAATTTTCGGATCTGAACTTCGCACGAGTCGTTGCGCAGAACATAAGGTGTGTTTGGGCATAGGAAGAAACGGGGAAAGGGCACAGTGCAGCGCGCACATATCCTTGGGTTGGCAATATATTTCAATAGAACTATACATACCTTGTTGGTTACGTAGCCGAAGCTACTGAGCCGAGGATTGGAGAAGAATATCCAGAACTGCTGCAGGTCTTCATCAGCGCCATCGTACCGCAGCAGGAGGCGACCACCTACGTTCTCGCATACCTATAATAATTTATCGATATCTAATTTGACAAAGCTGTAAAGAAAAATCTAAAAAAGCACACCGAACTCTTTGTTACGTCGAAGTCATAAAAAATGATTGTATTTTTAACTCACCGTAGCAATCCAATATCGGTAAGGATCATTGACGTTTTGTATTTCCACTTTCATGCCCACTTTTATCCTGTCGATGGGAGACATGCCCTTATTGTTAAGGGCTTCTATAGAGACCGATTGCCCTACTAGTAAGGCCTTCTTCATTATATCTATGATAGTATCACCGCATTTCTCATTTATTTCATCAGGTGGTTCCACCAATTCGTCATATTTTCCGCACCAGCCCAGCGGATGCACTTTAGTATTGGAAATGTCACACCAGAAGTCAGTGTCTGCCCCGATGAATTTGATCCTAAGGAGGTGACCACAGACCATGGTTATCTCCGCTATCCAGTAGATGTCGGGGTTGTTCTTGTGGCAGACTTCGAGGAGCATACCCTGTTTGATACCATTGTTGAGGCTGGCTTCGACCTGCAGCAATGCAAATGTAGATGTAAAGCAGAAATCTTACTAATCTTACTTCTAACTAATATCTTACTAATATTATAAATGCCAAAGTTTAGATGGTTGGTTGGATGTTTGTTTGAAGTTATGTTTCTTTTTAATTCTTCGCGGAAGAAGTCGCGGGCGAGCTAGTATCTTCTTATTAAAGAAAGTCAAACTTTGTTTACATCTCATAGTTATGTAAATATATGCAAACTTTACAAAATTAATTAAATATTCAATCTTATTAACAATTTCTCGATTTAATATTATTGAAATATGACTTATGTATGTACATATATTGAATGTTTATTTGCCGTAATTGCGCTCAAGTAGGAGGAAAGGGCGCGGCATTCGCTCCACCTCGTGCGCGCTACAAATACGATGGAAGCCGTAAACAATATAATTAAAGAGATGATTACCAAATGAAAAGTTAGAGCTTTAAAAAAACAGCGGCTTTAAAATATTTCGTATCAATTTAAGGTTTAATTTATACAGTTCCGTCAGTATCGAACGCTGATTGAATCTAGACACTGTACAAAATGTCTAGGCATCCTGGGAGTCGTTAAAGGGAGTAGGGAGGTGGGAGGAGGGAGCCGGGAGCGGTGCAGCTGCAGGGCGCATGTTATTTCGATATTGATTTGATTGAAGAGTGGCCGACGTGAGGTCGTTCAGGTGCTTGTTACATTAAAATTATTGCGCATTACGAGTCAAGTTCAATGTTAACTGTTTTGTTA